ATGAAACAAGCGCGTACATCCTTTTTTGTTAAACAGTGAATATCGTTATGGTCTATGATGAACTTGTTAAGGTAGGCAGGTTATGCCCAATAGATTGCAGCGCATAATTTGTACGAAAATGAGGCACATTCTAGAATTCTCTGCGTCTGACAAGTTGGAAGATACCCACTTTTTTAAATGCAATACGTTAGACAAAAAAAAAAAAATAAACTCATCAGTCGAAAATAAATAAGAACATAACAAACGGTACTCGTATACACTGGTAACCCTCATGACATTGAGCTAAGCTTTCCCATCCCTCTCTGCCCGAATCGAAGCATCGAAGAAAACAATACGCAACCAAGTTCAACGAGAGTTCAGACCAGCCAAAACTCTGCACGGAACACGCTCCTATTTCTTTTTTATCGACCGGGAAACCAGCTCGGTTTTCTCGTGCAGATCGCCACCGATGCACGCGTCAGGTAATCTGATTGCATAGAACTGGCGCGGTGTCAAATGCTTCGGAGCATTTCCGCAGACGCCGCTACAGAGACGCGGCCGTCTAAAATATCGCCGACGACGAGGCAAAAAAAAAAGGGGGGTGATCAACACCGGAGAGAGCGTCGGGGGGAGAGGGCGGAGGCCGAACAAAGGGCGAGGGAGAGATACCGAACTCATTCGGCGTGCATCAGCGGTACTCGGATCCGAGTGGCGGCGACGACACAGCGAGATATAAGAGCTGAGGGAGATGATAAGCGCCGAGGAGAGCAGTGTTTGCTTTTTCCCGGACAGAGACTTTGGGACGCAAACAGGTCTTTGACCCTGAATCTCGCCAGCCGCTGGGCTCGTGATTTTATACGCCGCCCGAGGGACGGCGCCGATAGAACGAGGCCCAAGGCGCGAGCGACGCCGGCTGCACGAGGCAGCCACGCGTGCAACTCCGTCATCGGCGATGTGCACGACCAAAAGCGTTGATCCGCCAGTGATCACGTTTCGGGAGGTAAAAGCCTCGTCCTGTTGGTGGCATTGAAACGCGTCGCCGTGGTCGGTTTACCGCGATCGGCCAAACGATGGGCATGAGAGCATTGCCAGCCTGTGAACTTCGCCGGTGTCGGTTTAAGAACGCGATGGCTCCAGGCTTTTACCGTGCATTTTACACGCACCGTCGAACTAGTGGTCGTCGCAACCGATGATAAGTCGCTAGGATCGCAATTCTTGACGTCACGGCGAGACGAATCCTGGTGGTGACGTCAGGGATAGTAACCACTAGAGGGCCCCACCGAAACATCTGGGCGGTAAGACCTCGTTTCAACTTAGGATGGCCCACAGCGGGCGCTACAAGGCCCACGTGACATCGCGCGTCACATACCCCCCCCCCTTTTTTTTTTTTTTCTTCCGCCGGAGGCCACGTTACGTTGACACGGCACTGAATCGACTTCAATGAATAGTAGGGTAATCCGCGACCTATCGTAAGGTGAAACAGCATCGGTCGCTGAGAACTAAAGGAGCCAATCCAAACGCTGTAAAAGTGTCGCATGACAGCGCTCCGCTCTGGATTGGCTCCAATGGCTCGTGGAGTCCGTCGCGAATAACTTTAAGGAAAAATGCGTCTACGTCGCCGAACACTCGGCAGAAGAAAAGTGCACCATCTGCAGGAATCTCTGAAGTTTCGAGCAATGGCGGATGCGAAAGAGAACGCAGCTCGGAGCACGTGGACGGGGATTGGTGGCTGAGTGGCCTAGCGCACACCAGCTCGGAGCACGTGGAGCGAAAACTCGCGCTGCAGAACCCAGGGATCCTGGGTTCAATCTCCAGGGCCCTTTTCGATCTGGATGAGCATCGTATACCGGCGTGCGGTCGTGTATCACTACTGCGTGGTGCACGTTAAAGACCCCAGGCTAGCGGTTGTACTGCACTGGCTAAATTGCTCATCCACAGCTGGGAGACAAGTTGCCCGTAGAGGCAGACTAAATTCTAGGCTGTATAAACATACGCACAACCCATTTTTTTTTTTTTTTTTCGGAGCACGCGGCTGAAATTTTGGTTTGGTGAACGCGAGGATCATCGCTGCGTTCACTCACCCCCCCCCCCCCCCCCCCTTACCATTGCGACTGACTGAATTAAACGTAAACTACGAATACGTTCGTCCACGTAAACAACAAAGTACGTGAGAACACCTTTAACCAAAAGGCTACTATAGTTTGGTCTTCTCGTCGCATCCAGCAGCGCAGACTCTATTAAATCAAAAATCCCCAGTACCTTTTTCTTAACATTTTTTCCGATACTCGAGGTAGACATCTTAAAGAATCCATTTGTAGTCGGTAAAAGGTAAAGATTAAAGATTCCCTCTTATCCTGTCATCGACGATAGGTCGAAAAAACAATTTGGCAGACCGTACAATGCACAGCTTTCATAGAAGGGCAAAAGAGAACGAAACGGGTTGAGGGGAGAATTGAGACGACTAGGAACAAACAAGAAAGAAAGAGAGACAGAAGGGAATAAGAAGTGTAACCAACGGCGACTCTCGGACACCCCTAGAGGAACTGAAGACTCTCTCACACGCCACACACCTTCCTTTAGCAATTACGTCACTGCCTCCTCACTCCACCCGGTCGAAAAACAACACCGTGGAGTGGCGGCAGCAGGTAAGCGAAGAGAAACATGCCTCGGGGAAACACGCAACATCGCGGAAACCGAAATCCGAGGCACGCCGAAATGCCGGGCCGTCTTGCCACGCAACCAAACAGCGAAAAAAAAGAAGAAGGAAAGCGGCATAAACACACACTGGCCTCAGAACACCGTTCCCAACCTCTCACCGCCCTCTCCCCCCGAAAGGGGTCTTTCCCCTCGCTCCATGACAGGGTGCGTTAAACATACGCAAACGCGTGTCAGCACGCGCCGGTGCGAGTGCGTTTCGCGCAGAACCGGGGAATGGAAAGTTGGAAACGCAGCCAGGGTAAAAAGGAAACAGAAGGAAAAGCCTAGCCACGCGTCGAACAATGGCTGCCCATTGTGATGGTCCCCGCACAAACAGCCTCCGTCTCGTCCCCTTCGCTGGCTAGCGTTACGCAAAGCCACACCTACCACTTAGCCACGCTGGCACGCGAAAAGAGGGGGCCGAAGGCTCGCGCCGTTTGCGGGCTCCCCTTGACACTCACCCGCTTTAACTTGTCCAATCCATTGTTGTCTATATTCTGGGTACTCCAGTGCGAAACATCCAGAGATATTAACTGTTTTTACTTCGAGCGCAGGAAGAAAAATCCGTATCCTTATTCTTTACGTACATTGGCTCTTACAAGATTTAATCCCCGGTGTCCCAAATTCGGCGCCAACGTGGGAATTCCGTGTCGACCCCCCGAAAATAAAAAAAATAAAACACTTTTTCTCCCGTTGGACTTGAGAATAAATCAAAAAGACTGGTTACATAATTGACTAGATCATAATCATCTTCATTGACAATTTTCACCTCATATTCCTACCCCACTGCTATGTCTTTCCTTCCCCCTTTCCCTATCCCCGGTGCAGAGCAGCAAACTAGAACTGACGTTCGGGTTGAAATCTCTGCCTTTCCTTCATAAAGCACTACTACTACTACAATGGGATATTGTTTTTTAAGAAATTATACGCTTAAAATAAACTGTCACGTGGAGCGCTACACACATTATCATTCCTTACGATTAAAAGAATACCAGTACATCCAGGCATGTCATCGCAGGAACGCGATCATGCCCCATATAAGGGGTGTAAAGGGGTCCATTCCGGCCGATTATACCGTTTAGAAATTAGCCGGCGATGAATGCATTGGTCCATTAATTCTACAGTCCCACTCGTTAGTCGCGCTTTAACCGATATGACGCCATCATTAATGGCGCCCTCTGTTTACGCAAGGTTCCTCCGAGAAATCCTCGAACCAAGTCACGGACAGGAAAACTGTTTATCGAAATCGGTGTATTACGAAGATCAGTAATTCATAGCTCGGGTGATTCTAACTCAATAATGAACAGTACGAAAGACCCGTTTTCAAACTGGCAGAAAAATTTGTCTTACTAACTTAAGTGAATACTTCGGGTAACGTGTACAAGTCTGGGCGCAGATTAAACAGGAGTGATGTGGGAGTACTCGGCCGGTGTGCAATCAGTGAGGGTCCCCGCAGAGCTGACACAGCACTGGTGTCCGGCCTATGCCTCGCACTGGCGTCTGGTTGGTGACGTCAAAAACCCAGCACTGCACCCCCGCGGAAATTGGAAGCTGAAACACCCAGCTTTCTGCGTCTACCGGGCTCACCAAAAGCTCCCTCCTTGATCTCTAAATTTGTGTGGTAACTATGCCTTTGCTCACACCTCGCGTGAGGTACACAGCGCGTTGGCCTTTCACCTTCCGTCCGACCGCAGCGGACGCTACATGCCATCCCAGCCAGTCCAGCTCAGTGAACGTAGCACATGATACACGCGACACTGCACATCATCGCCAAGGTCAAGTAACCCTCCCACGGCCTTCGACTGGCTTTGGTGGCTCATAGCATCCGCTGCGGCCGGACGTAAGGAGAAAGGGAAACGGAATCGGTGGCCGAGTGGGCTAACGCGTCTCAGCTCGGAGCGTGGGGCGGAAAGCTTGCGCTCGGAACTTCCTGGGCTCGATCCCCACCGCCCCCGCCCATTTTCAATCTGAATGAGTTTCGTACCGGCATGCGTTCGTGTAATCACTACTGCGTGGCGCACGTTAAAAGCCACCAGGTTAGCGGTTGTACTGCACTGGCTAAATTTCTCATCGACTGCTAAGAGGGCATCACTCGTTGAGGCGTACCAACATCAAGGCTGTTTAAACATACAAAGCAAGACAATTTTAAAATGTAGTTCGGACCGCGGGTCTCTTATAAACTGGCATGCGCGTGTGCTTCAAAGAAACATGAGGCACTGCTTCAGCCCATATTAGACGCGATAGTACAGTGAAGATCAAGGCGAAGCCGAGGAACGGGTATCAGAAGCAAAATCAGCGTGAAGTTGCGGTTAAAAACGACTCACGTGCTTTCCGTACTGTTCCTCGAAGCTGGCGTACTTGCTCAGGTCCTGCGTGGAGACAGTCGAGTGCGGCGTGAGCGTAGGGGGCAGGTGCATCATGTGTGGCGGCGGCGTGGCGAGACTGAACAGGGGGCCCTGGGACACGGCTAGGGGCAGCGGGAGGGACATGGGGGCCGGCAGCAAGGGGGCGCCCGGAGGCTGCAGGGGCCGCAGGGGAGTCGAACTCAGCGAGATGGCACCCTGCAACGCCAGTCCCGCCGTCGACGTCACCACGACGTTGGGCGCCGGGATTCGGTGGTCCAGCAGACTTGGCATGGAACCGTTGCTACTCGGAGGTGTGCTGCCGTGGTTGCTGTTGTTCAGCGCCAACGGACTCCTGCAGCGCAAACGAAGAATGACCATATTACGTATGCGCATCAAGGGCTACGCCAACCATGTAAAGAGCGCGCAAACACCATCACTTTGGAACTCACTGAAGGCATGTAACAATACAAGACTGACCAAATGATAGATGATCGATCTTCTCTCAAGACCATTCAACCCTAACATCGACGTGGCATCTTTTTCATCGCGCTACCTTCGCCATTTTTTTTTTTCTTTTCTAAGGTACAGCGGGTGATTTTTCTGATAAAACTGAGTGCCTCAATCCTGCCTCAAGATAATGACGAACAATCCTGGCAGACAATCCTGGTAAGCCTTATTGTGGCAAGTTATATTTCGGAGCCCCGACTGCTGGGCATGGCAGTCGAGCGTCAGACATATGGCGCTTAAGTTTTCGGGTCGCTGGAGCAGCTTTAGCCTTCATAGAGTTATTCCGATGTCGTCGGCTGCTGCCCGTCCCCCCTCCACACCTCCCCCTGTCCCAGTCTCCACAGTTTGGCCTCAGAAAAGCAGGAAGTTTTCTCGAGTGAAACAAACGTAGCGCTTTCCACTCCATTGGAGCAGAATCACCACTAAGCTTCCACGCAGGCACGTAGCCGTGGGGCCCATGGGGCCCGCCCCCCCCCCCCCCCCCCCCCTAAATCATTTTGCTGGGAGAGGACACTACCTAAGAGAGGGATTTCAAAATCCCTCTCCTAGGTAGTGTGGCTAACTTTAGCCTCGGTTATCGCTTCGAGCAAACGGGCCCTGGTGGCTTAAATCAGCGTTTACATTTTGCTCTACTAATGGCGGTAATCGACCTGCAGTCTGTGCTACTTTCCCGGGCACCATCCCTTTCACCAGTCACCAACATACGAGAATGCATTCTTTACCTCACAATTCTTTCTGGATTCTCAGTTTCGATGGTGACAAATATAGAACCAGTGAGGACGAAGCACCGACCCACGTTGACGCCGTGATGAAATTTATACATCACGGGGCAGTAAAGCCTATTATGTGCCGCCAACAGACAGATTGTACCCGAGTTAGAAATGAACGCTCAAGCAACTTTTAACGTGTCGAAAGTGCAAACCTCACACCATCCGCTTCGGAGCATATTCGACTTCTTCCATAATCAGTGACCACAAGGCCGCCATTTTTCGGATGATGAAAGTGACCATGCCCAGACTGAAGTTCTGTAAGGCTCATGGTGCGCACTTTTGAAAAGGGTCTTTTAGAAACGAACAGTAACAGCTCTCACCCGCCGTCCGTTCTCCGCACCCCGCCGCCACTGCTGCTGTTGTTGTTATTGTTGTTGGTTGTGCTGCTGTTGTTGTTGTGGTGGTACCGTGACAAGATGTCCTGCTGGGGGTCGCTGGCGTCGTTGCTGAGGTCCCCTTCAAGCGGCGTCCTCCTCTCGTCGTCGTCATCGCCCGAGCCCCCGTACTCGGACTCGTTCAAGTCCTCTTCCTCTGGGTTCGACTGCACACAAAGAACGCCCACCCCGTCAGCATATCGCCAACTCGCCTTGTGACACAACGATGCATAAAATACAAGCCGCGCCGGCTGGAAAGATTGTTGTCAACGCAATCCTGAAATTCGGGATGTAACGTGTGGTTTTGAAAAAATAATAATTTGTTGTTATATCCCTTTTTTTACAAATTCTAGCCTTTCCGAAAATGACAGTCGAATCGCGCCATCTTTCCAGTTTCGAAAGCGAGCAAGCTGGCCGAAGTCCACCAGAAAAGAACACAGTCTGCTTTGACCGACTTTCGACACGTAAGTTCGTGACATCATTTCACTGGTGTTTTTACTGTTGTTGTGCTCCTAGAAATATTACGACCGCCTTTTTTAGCACGGGGAGGCTCGAGAACATGCTCAAGGACGTCGGGACGGGTACATGTAAACGTTTCGTAAAAGCCGCCTGTATGCCCCAGCGCGACAATGAACCATAAAATGTTCCAACCAGCAGCGTACCGTTTTGTCCATCATCGAGACGAGAAAACAATAAAGAACCCCCTTCCTCCTTTTATTATCCGTTCTCAGTGGAACGTGAAGTGAAGCGTGCGGCCTGCTACGACACAAACGCCGTTAACGGACACCAACCCCCCAATTCAGCCAATGGGGTTCCAGTCAAGGTACGACGTCAGCCGATCCTCCGTGATGACGCCAACGTGCCCCGCTTCGGATCGACGCCCCGCCGTCGGTAGTCGGCGATAAATCACAAGATGGCGACGACAGGGGAGGAGGGGGAAAAGAGGGCGAGGAGGCCACCACCCACTCACGTGACCAAGCATCCCGGGCCGTAAATTAACGGCGGAGGACAACCGCGTTTTACCGGGTGCTAGACAGCACCGAGGGGCAAAAAATAAATCAGGCTGCAAGGTGTGGACGGGTGACCCCTCGGTTAGACATTGTCTAAATTCTTAATCCATGGTTCGAATGCCGCCTGCCCAGGTTTCCTTCTTTAACAGATTGGCGTGCGGCATTCGAAGCACGGATCTCGCGATGACCGGTGTTCGAATCTGTACGTAGACCGTCTTTTGGTGTATAAGCCACGCGAGTCATAAGTCGGCAACAACGTTTTGTGTATAGAGCATGAGACATGATCGCTTCTTCGCTGTGCCGCTTGGACTCCGTAAAAGGCTTGACTTGCACGGTACTCAATTACTCGTAATCGTTTACTTTTTTAGGTATATTTTACGATCGCTTGATTACACATATTAGGAAGTAATCCCGAAAGTAATACGATTAATTTTGAAAGTACCAAAATCTAATCGTAAGCGTTACAATTTTTCCTTACCATTTCTAATGGCGCCCCTTTGTTTCTAAGGAATTCTGAATTTCCGACAGGAGGGTGGTTTACCATAATGGGTGGATTAAGGAGATAAGTACTTTATAATTTGGTAACTCTAATATAATACTAGACAGTACCAAAGACCCGCTTTCAAACCGGCAGAAAAATCTGTCGCTTTGAAAGCCAATGGAACCGGAAACTAACGGTCACTTCATCAAGTAACAGCCGACTACTTTTCTCCTTAAGTGGTCGAGTCTCCTAAGTAAATTGTTTTCAACTTACTCGTAATCGATCACTTCTTTTGAGTGACGTATACACGACTGGCCCTGACGAACTCAAAATCGTATTTCGAGCTATCCGCAGGCGCTGGTACAGCCCACTTTTCGCCCTATCTTGAAAACGACGGAGGCTTCGCGATAGTCCCGTCTTCGGAGTGATCACCTCTCGAAGAATCGCTAATTGTCCTCGATCATTATAGACCTGTCCAGCACTTATCGCTCAGGCAAAAAAAAGCTGAGTCACTAAGCTGTGGACCCATGCGCGTCATCCCATACTCTGCAGAAGGAAGCCAATGCCCGTGCTCGGAACGCGATCTATACAGCCCGGTAAACAAAAATGGCAGTCGCAAAAAAAAAAAAAAAAAATACTCGAGGGCAACTTTTTTTTCTTCTTTTTCTTGGAAGGAAAGCGAATGCTACACATACCAGTGCATTTGCGCCCCTTCAGCACCGATCACATTTGTGAATGCGCAGTCTTCACATATGAAATACCAAAAAAAAAAAGGTCATCCCCGAAAATAAAGAAGTATTCGCGCAAGAACTGCGCGCTTATTCGCAACTTTCACGACCTATAAGGGGCGCACTGGTGCCCACCAAAACGGCTGTCACTTCGATGATCCTCGCAGAACAGCAGTGCGAGGTCGGGTCTGCGACGCCAGTTCTAGTTTTGTGAAATACGAGCAATATCAGGACCGCACTTCCACGTCAGGAAGGTGTAGGGAAGCACCTGAATTCTGAAAACGATCGTCCAGCAACTAGAGAGTGCGATACTTACACCGCGGTACCAGCGTGGCTGAAAGTTGCGAATTTATTTCGTTTCAGATTACCACGGTTTCCGAAAGTACACCGTAAAAGTGACAAAAATGGAACAAAAAAAGCACAGTCGCAGATAATTCATTTTCTCGGCGTGAACGCAGATCCCAAGGGAGGTCGGAAATGTTTCATTAGAAATTAATTATACATATATAAAGAATTATTTTATTTGAAAATAAAAAAAAAAAAATATTAGAAAAAGATCAATAAGACGCGCGATTAACCATTTAAATTCCGAGCACCGCGCACGGAGGGACTCGATAAATAAATCGGCTAACAAGCGTACACGGCCTCGACCACCAAAAGCAGTCGGCATCCGCTCGGCACCAACCGCAGGAAGCTTCGCCGCAGACCTGGCCAAGTCGTTCCCCCTGGCATTAATCAGACCGAAGGGCCGATGCGCGCCGTGGCGCCGGCAGCTTCTCCGGACGTTCGCGAGCCCTTGAACACACAAAGGAGCGCGCGTAATACCCGTACCACCTCGGAGACGAGGCCTTTCCCCGGCGAAACCGCGTCCCCGTGGTCACCAGTGCGACGCCAGCACGCAAAAACGCCAAGTAACGCGAAGCGTGTTTGCCGCATGGGGCGGGGCGGGGATCAACGAGCGATGACGTCATGATCAGGCCTTGAGTTTGAGCTGGTGTCGGTGTAGTACACGGAGGTAAGCCAAACAGCCGCCTGAGCAGCACGCGGGAAAAAGCAGCAGAAGCACCCCAAACGTAATCAGCCAATACAACTCTCCGATGGGGGGGCCTCCCGAACCGAATTAAAAGCCATTCATAAAGACCCCCGTCCTGGGGCAAGTTTGGTTCTAGCGTTCTGCGGAAAAGAAAAAGAAAATATTTAAAAATAAATAAGGGGGGGGGGGGGGGGGGGGTAGTGGCTTGATAAACGGCTGAGAAAGCCAGGTCGTGCTTTCAATTAATTCTCGAGTTCAAATCGCCTCACGCGGGCTTATTAGCCGGCTTCGCGACTCCACGCTGCGGCTCCGCAAACGAGTCTGCGAGAGGGTCACGTGAGCAGCCCACGTGACTTGACTAGTTTCGTTTCACGGACTGCTTGTCCGCGAGTTCAGTAGTAAATTTTCGAGACTTATACGTGCTCGAGCGAGGCTTTTCCTTGAGAGAAAGCGAAGCTGCATAGCGTTGTATCAGTGGGCGTGAACCAGTCGTAACGTTGTCAAACCTGGTCATTCAACTTCGCGAATGGGCCTGAACTCGCCGTAACATCTGCCAAAACGCAGCTGTGTGAACGCGAGTTCACGGACAGCGAAAGTTCGACAACTGAGAAATCGAACATCGTTTCAAGTTCGCGATTACGGTAAAATTCTACGACGGCGAGTCTCGAGGACGGTAAAATACGACACGGAAAATCTCGACATCCGCAAATTTCGATGGCGGCAAAGTTGGACCTCGGTAATGTTATACGACGACAAACGTCGATGGCGGCAACTGTCGCTGAGGGCCCGACGACAGCGAGGTTCGACATCGGTAGAACTCAACGACAGTCCGATAACGGTAAAAATCAATAATAATAAATGTCAACACCAAAAAAAAAGAAAAAGATAAAGTTTGATGACGGTAGACCTCAGCGAGGGTAAAGTTCGGTCGGAGCACAGTTCAATAACGGTAAATGTCGACAAGAGTAAATAAGGTTGATGAAGTCCACATTACGTTGTGGGCGCATGAAAGACGGCGCCATCTGCCAGAGAACAACCATTCACCGCGAACAGGAGCGGACTCAGCGTGTAACAAAACAATCAACATCACAAAGTTACGAGCGAACAAGAAGAAAAAAGACAAACAAATAAACAAAAAAAGAAAAGAGAGATAAGCCTGCCCGCGCGCGCCAGCGTGTCACAGAAGCTCAAATTCGTGCCGGCGTTTTGGAGCGTGCCTGTTCGTCGGTCGCCACGTGCGAACTCCGACCGCCACCTAAAAATATCAGCGGCGGGCAATCTCTCATTGTCGCCGTCGTCGGAGTCGCCAGACATGCGGCGCCGGGCTTTTTCCCCCCAAAATAAGCGCGCTATAAAAGAGAGGTATCACTCTATAAATCAAGGCGCATCCCTCTGCTCGAGCGCCATACTCCGGTGCTTATTAGTTACCCCCTCCCCAGACCCCAGCGTACACCGTCCGCCAATCTTACAACAAAAAAAGCTATGGCGCGGCATCTGACATGAGGTTTTCGCACACGCGCGTCTGCGACAGACGGTGAAAATAGATTGTGTTTCGGTCGTCTTAGCGTAACCTCGCGACTGCCACCGACAATTAATGTCCTTCCTTACTTTTTTTCCCCCCGTGAATTATTATAGAGAAAGGAGAGAGAGAGAGAGAGAGTGAAAAGCAAGAATAGCGGTGGCCTACTGGCGGCTGCCATATTGCGAGCGTTCTGACGTCAAGATGGTTATCATACGTGTGGCGGACACCAGGTGGCGTTGGAGCGAAATAAATTCGCTTTCATTTATTTAAAAACGAATTTATTTCGGATTCAATAAATTTCGCCCCCCAACTAACAGGGATCGGCCCAGTGTTGTACGCGTTCCTCCAAAAGAGGAACGAAAGCTCGTTCCTCGTTCCTTCAGAGACTTGGAA